AAATATATTCACTGAAGTCTGCTTCGTGTATAAAACATGACTGGAACTGGCAGGAAGCTGCCATTTACGGTGGTCACCTCTAGGGTTTACTTACAGCTGTGGAGGTGCAGAGGGAGAATGGAGACCTTTTTATGTTCTACTTGTAAACTGACGGCATTTTTTTTTTTTTTTACAATGCTCAGGTATTACTGTCATGCTTGTTTAAAGCTGTGATGATTAGAAAAGAGGCTGCTGCAGTGGGTCAGGCGGAAGGTCATGACCTGGGGCGGGACCAAGGAAGATGGATGGGAGGGTCAGGGGGAGGAAGAGTATGTTGACCCTGGGAGAAGGTGAGGGCTCCCACCCAGGGTGAGTCCAGGGCATCCTGTGAGAAAGCAGAGGGGACACACTGGCCTGAAAGATGTCTGTGCTCTCCGCCTTGCTCAGCCCTCAGAGGGAACTCCTAGACTAATGTCAGAACGTTCTCAGTGACTTGAGAATGTGCTGGTCTAAGGCTGTCATGTCAGCCACAGGCTATCATGGATACTCCTACGTTCAAGAAGTGTCAATATCTAGCAAAGGGAAAACTGAAGTTTAAAACATATTTTAGAAGTTAGTAAGAGTGATGTCTCTCCTGACCCCAATCCAACTGATTATCCAGTCTCGCCAGGACCACTCCCAACTGCCCCCCTCCCATATAACTGTTGTTAATGGTTTGGTGAAATTTTATTCATAATCTCGCTCTCTCTCTCTCTCTCTCTCTCTCTGTCTCTGCCTGTCTCACACTCACTCAGGTACACCTAGATACAAACATTTCTATATTTATTTTACAAAAGTGGAATTATTCTGAACATTAAAATCTGACACTTTTTTCCCCCAAATAACACACCAGTGATATCTTTCTAGGACAACACACATAACTATTTCCCATGGTTTTTAGTGGCTGGATTAAAACCAGTACTCTATGACAAATACTTGGTTGGTTTTCATTCACCACAGAACCTTAGCTTCAAAATAATCAACTGTACTATAATGCTTTTAATGCAGTTTTCTGGTCTCCCATGACCATACTATATGATGCAAGTAGTTTAATTATGCTTTAGAAATGATTTTTAACAAGGCAATAAACTTTCATTAATAGGATTCAATTCTCCAAGCACCAGGAAGCACAGTGGGTGGAGCACTGCAGTTGGGAAAAAGCATTTTATAATATTAATAGAGTCCTACATCTCACTTTGATCCAAAGGTCTGCCATCCGGGTGGGATTAAGAATCACAGTCAGCGTTCTTGTCTAGGAAGCACTACTCTAGATCAGTTGTCCCCACAGACTCATGGTAGCTCCAGAGAGGAAGACAAAACATCTTGCCAGGAATCAAATCTCACTGACACGCTCACTCTGTGCTCTGGCCCAGCCCAGTCCAACCCAGCCCAACTGTCAAGCTGGGAGGGACAGAGAAAAACAGAAGCTAGATGATAAATAAAAGCATACTCTTCCAGGCTAAGATGTTGTGTTATCAAGTTCAGGGTGGACCTTCCATCCCAATGAGCATATCACCCTTAGGGACAGGAGATGCTAGAGACAACTGGCAAATTTCCCAGGCTCCCTGAGGAAAATAAACCAAACGAAACCATCTGGCTCCATCTTATTTATGGTATAAGAGGTTTTGATGTCCACTAACAGAGAAGGAAATGGAGCTAGTGGTGGCACAAAAAGAGAATTTTTGAGAGAATTCCCTCAAAAAGAGGGTGTACTGAACATTCCATTTGTTGAACAGTGTTTCCCAAACACCTAAATCAGTATTTATGTAATTACTGGCTAATTGTTAATTTCTCCATTAAAAAGGTAAGTTCCATGAGGGCGGGACCCTGTCCTTATTCATACCCTTGCACTTTCTCCCACCAGGGGAGACAGTCCACATATGAGTGGAATATAAGAAACAAAACAAATGAACAAACAAACCAACAAAAAAGGAGGCAAAAAACCCCCAGACTCTTAAACACAGAGAACAAACAGGGAGTTGGCAGAGAGTAAGTGTGTGTGTGGGGGGGTGGGGAACGGGTGAAATAGATAAAGAAGAATAAGAGGTACAAACTTCCAGTTACAAAATGAATAAATCACAGAGATGAAAAGTACAGCATAGGGAATATAGTCAATAAAAGTGTAATAACGTTGTAGGGTGACAGATGGTCACTACACTTATCGCGGTGAGCATTCGGTAATATATAGAATTGTTGAAGCACTGTGTGTACACCTGAAAGTAATATAACACAGTATGTTAATTATACTTCAATAAAGAGAGTATAAATGCAAAAAAAAGTCAAAGAATTGATTTAAGTCACAATTGCACTAAATTTTACAAAGCAGAATTGGTTTGATGGGGTCAGAGACAGCTTCTGGAAGGAGGAAAGGATTGAGCTAAAATCTGAAAGACAAGCAGGAGAGGAGGGGGCAAAGGAGCTTTCCAGGCAGAGAGTGGAGCGAAGGTCCTGGGAGTGCTGAGCACAGAGCACTGGAGAGAGAAAGAAGGCCAAGACAGCTTGCAGCCCAGGGAGTGAGTCTGGTGAAGGGCATCATGTGAGGCTGGGGACACAGGAGACAGATGGCACAAAACCTTACAGGTCAAGGAGTCTGGTCTTGATCCTTAGTACGATGACACCCATTGAAGGGTTTCAGGCAAAGAGCAACAAGATCAAAGTTGCATCGTTGGCTCTGGCAATGAGATCTTGTAAGGGGCAAGCAGATTGGAGGAGAATAAAGTAGATGTGGGGAGAACAATTAGGAGGTTGCTGAAGTGGCTTATGCAAGAGATGACATTAGTTTGGACCAGGATAATAAAGATGGAGAGAAACAGAGTTGGATCTGTTTAGGAAGGAAAATCAGTAGGACTTATTGTTTAAATGCAGGAGATAAGGAAAGACCACATTAAGAATAACTACCTGATTTCTGGATGATGCATCTGCTGGAGCAGCTATTCACTGAGGAGGTCCAAGTTCAGAAGTATCATGAAGTGCATGGATAGTTGCAGGAACTGAAATGAACATCCACTAGCATTTTGTATGGTGCCTAGCGGGGCCAGTGCCATGCCTTCAATGAACTATCTAACTTAATCCTAACTGCAATCCTATAAAATAGATGCTATTGCCCCCATTTTTAGAGATGAGAAAACAGAAGACTCAGAAAAGCTTAAAAACTTACCACCATTCTCAGAGCTAAACATTGGCAGAGGTGGGATTTGAACCCAAATCTCTTCCGTTCTAAAGCAGATGGATCTTAATGACCAGCCCATCCTGCTTCACGACAGCTCCTGCCTACGTGGGGAAAATTTCATGATTTCAAAAAAACCTGAGAGTTAATCTGGAACTCTGAAGCCAAATCTCCGTAGGGAACCTGCAGTCCTTTCCTCAGGACTGCTCAGAGTAAATTTTCCAAATCAGGAAGATAATTCTACGTGTCTCCCCCATTCTTCACTCGCTACTCGGCTCTTTTTCTTCCCTTTGCTTTTCCCCCAAACTGAAGGTTAACTCCAGTTGCCATGATCCCCTCAGCTTTGCCTTCTCCAAGCTCCTATAATATTTTTAGTCTTGGCACTCATTTTGGCAGTGATCATAGGCAGGCTACCCCGCAAGATTTCCATGCATTTTCTACTCCCTGACATTTCATTTCCTCTCCTGCAAACTTCCATACAGTATATAGTGACTGCCTGTAAGTCTTTCATGTACTGAAGTCAGACTGTTGTAAATAAGCTAATAAACACAAATTTCACACTATGACATGCTACGGGTCTGGCTGCCAACCAACAGCTCAGTTTTACCAATGTCACTATCTATAGCTAGAGAGTCTCATTATATGTGCATTTAACTTCAGCACATTCAACTATGTGTTCTTGGTAGAGAAAGAGAGAGAAAGAGCTCACACAATTTAAGCAGAGCTGGCCATTATGCTTGCCATTCCCATCAATAAGCACCTGTCCCATGAGATAGGAGATGAATCCGCTGTTCCTGCAGCTGGTTCCAGGCCCTCAAGACCTTCCCCATTGTGAGTAATTCTCTGGACAGACTCTGATTTTCGTGTTTAAAGACACATATTTTAGATACATCACAATCTCTAATTTTAGTCAACTGCTTTCCCTGTTCCACGATTAAAGAAACAGTGACTATCCCTAGACCAGAGGAGAAACTGGGTCTGTTGCACTTTTCCAGAGATAAGAAAAGCTTGTCCCTGCTCATTCCGATAACATGTGACTTGCACACCACACTTTCTTTTGGGAACTATCCCTGAGATACGAATACCGTGATGTCGGTCTATGATCCTGTAATTATCGGAACTTTAAATTCCATTCTGCTTTTATTACTGAATATAAACACGCAGGAATTAGAAAATAAAAAGTCCTACTACAACTAATAAATATACATCTCAAACAAAGAAGGCAAAGATGGAAATCATTAGGCCTTCTGAAGTCAAATGTGAAGAAAAAGAACAAAATTTTTCAAAAGAATTAAATGTTAGCCCCGCATCCCCCAAACAATCAATTATTGGGGATTTTACAATTAACTTTCTGGAAAAGATTCTCCAGGTTGCATGCACATAAAATCATGATACAGACACATTTTGGGGAGGAGGTCATGTTCAAACATCAGACTATCATTCTGAACCAGCTCTGCTGCCTACGGGGCAGGTGTATTAATTCTTACTCCCTCAGAGTTTGGTTCACGCCATCCGTATAAAAATGTAGAGCTCTACAGTGAATCTGATCGCCGCTACCTGTCACTGTCTAGATTGTGAGCTCCCCGCAGGCAGGTTCTAAGCCTTACAAACCTCGGCGTCTGCAGGACCTCAGAGAGGGCCTGACTAAAAAGGAGCCCTCTGCAGAGACTAGAGCGTGGGGGAACCAGTGAGTAGCCAGATCTATCACTCTGAGATTCATCGCTTCTAATGAACTAGGGAAGAAAGAAAGGTCCAATAGCCCTCAGGTCCTTGTGCCCAGCATGGAGCTCCGCTGTGCACATTGCTCTGCCCTTACCTATCCAGAGAAATGCAGCACAGGTGAAAAATCGATGCCGTCGTGAGCAAGACGTCTAGAGATGTCCGGACGAGGCAAAACATCTCCCCATAAATCCAGATGTCTTGAACCAGCTCGATGGCACCAAAGGGCATCACCAGCACCGAGACCAGAAGATCCACAAAGGCGAGAGATACAATGAAGTAATTGGTTTTTATCTTCCTGTGAGTGAAACGTGTAAGGGAGGAGGCAGGGGGGAGGAACAAAGGAAAAGGGGAACGAAAGGAGCAGGAGAGAAAAAAGGAGGAGAGGAAAACAAAGAAAGAAGGGAGAGAGACAAAGGAAAAGAAAGTCAACTCTCCAGTGCGTCCTGCAAGACCCCCTTTCCCTTCCGCCACACGGCATGCACGGTCCAGCCACCACCGACTTCTCCAGACCCCCTTGCACCCAAATCCCTCCCATCTTCTTCCCTGAGGCCACACGGGCCTGATTTGAGCCCCCGTGCATGGAACCCCTCCCTAGGGCCTCTACACAGGCTGTTCTCTCTCCCCATCCATCCTCCCCTTCAGGCCATGGTTTGGTTATTCTCAGGGGACCCTCCTCAAGGGCCCTCCTCACAAATGGTGTCAAATTCCACTGTTTTCCTCTCTGAGATTGATTACTGTGTGCCTCACATTTGTGACCCCGGTCAGAATTGTGCTTTTACACTTTCTTTGCATCATCCCTGGATTCGTGCATGCCTTGCTTAGAGGAAGGCCACAGATCAGGCAGGAATGCATCTTTTATGCCCCCTCATGGCCTGGTGGCTCTCGATCCAGGCTGAGCCTTAGAATCGCCTGGTGAATTTTTATATATATATGAATGCCCATGTCTCTCCCCAGATCAATTAGTTCAGAGACTTTGGGTGACTAACCTATCCATGTACCCCGCCCCCCCCCCCAGGGTTTCAGATAAAATAGAGCACTCCTAGTTAAATCTCAATTTCAAATAAACAACGAATAACTATTCAGTAGTATGCTCCAAATACTATATGAGACATATTTATACTACACATCAGCAATTTCAAAAGATCTTCAGATGATTTTAATTGCAGCTGAGTTGAGACTCATGAGTGAAAAGAGCAGAAAACACAGGTTTAAATACTAGATCAGTCACTGGGCAGCCACCTCTTTTCTGAACCACTGATGAAGTGGGGGGGGTTAGATTAGATATGTCCTCAACAATTGTATGTGTATATATAGTGATCACACCTATCACCAACCCTCCCCCACCCCAAAACCCGAAGTTGAACACAGGAAAAAGATGGGACAGAGATGCATGTAAGTGCTTACACTGGTTATGTTAGTCATGGGAAATTATGTGTGATTTTTCCCTGCTCTATTTCACAACATCATTTCCCTTTCATAATTACAATTATAAAGGAACTCATAGTTCAGGCCCCAGCTGTCCAGGGAGATCCTAGAACTCTACACCGGTTTCCTCCTGAGGTCTCCTTCTGCTACTCACCTGAGCTGCCTGTCCCTGCACACAGCCACCATCACCAGCAGGTTCCCCAAGATGGCCATCAGGATAACCGCTGAGAGAAATGTGAGCAGCACGACCTTCTCCACTGACCCAAAACCCTCCTTGGAACTGGAAGACACACACGCACACAGGCACACGCAGATACACATACACATACACATACACAGAATTAAAGGAAACGCTGAGACACGGGAAAGAAAATCAATTTTTCCCCTCATTTATCTTCAGGAAGGTCACTTTAGCAACAGCAGCTGTAATACACATTTATTGTGCACCCAGTGTATGCCAATGTCCGTACCTGTTACTTTACACGTTATCCTAGTTAACTCCTACATAAGGAGGAGGAGGCTCAGAGAGGGGAATTAACTACTCTGAAACTGCACAGTTATTCTCCATCAGAGAGCCTGTGACTTTCCTTCAGAGCACTTACCTCAGCTTGTGCTCAGAAATGTATTTGGTTGATTCCTGTTTTGTGCACTTCCCCAGCTAGGATGTAAGGCAGAGACCTTGTCTGTTTTATCCACTCACTGATCAGTTCAATTTCAATGCATCACTCACATTTGTCGGATGAAGGAAAGATGGTGTTGGACGAATGAATGACGACAGTAACTTGAACCAGGGTCTGCGTGAATAGAAGGGCCACCCTCTCTCCAGACCCCTATCCCTGCCCATGTGGAAGCTGCTGTGTACAGATGGGCTGTCCAAGGGAGAGGTCATGGCTTGAAGACTGTTCTAACAAAGTTGACCTGAATAAACAGATCTCAGAGTCTGTGAAGTCCATCGCAAAGACAGCAGCCAATCGATATGCTCAGGGGCTCCTGTCACTGCCCTGGACCTTATTTCTTTTGGTGCCCAACATCCCAGCTCAAATCTGTGTCCTTGTCCATTTCGGCATCCGATTTGGTCCTATAAACCCTGCCCTCCTACTGCAAACTCATCATTTTGTTTTTAGTAATTTGGAAGCAAGCGTCCACATCAATGAAAGCATAAAATCTGAAGGTTATGAAGAAGCTATAGGAAAAAGTTTTATTTTTAATAGAGTAGTAAGAAAATTCTCCTTCTTAGTGAAGTTTCAAAGGATCTCAAAACTCTCAGACCCAAACCCTGCATTACAATATGGAGAAACTGAGGCCCAGAGGGGAGAACTGAATTGGCAAAATATAGTAGAGTCTGGTCTGGGAACAGCTCCTTGTCCTATGAGCCCTCCACTGGAAACACAGGGTCCCAGGCAGCAAGAAAGAGCTGTCTTTACTGAGCTACTTTGACTGAAAACCAAGATGGCTGCTGGCCCCACCACGTTCTAGCTCTGGTCTCCTCCAAAATTCTTTCCCTCAGGTATGGAAGTCAAGACGCCAACTGGAACAAGGAACCAGTATTGCAGCGGTTGGAAAACCAACAAGTTCCTCCACTCTGCTGACAAGTGTTTTGACTGAATGAAGTTGTTATGGCTAAGGGTTCATGAAAAGAAATTCAACTTATGTTCATCCAAATCACTCTTCCACACCTAAATTCCAACTACCAACATGTTACAAATACTGGACAGGGGAAGATTTAACTCAGGAGGAAAAAGGCTTCAATAGGGTGCTACGGCTACCCCAAACTAATTTGATCGTAGGCCATGTGGATGCAGGTAAAGTGTCTAACAAAGGAGGTGACAGTGGTTTTTCTCCTTGTCCTTCTCAGAGGCTCTGACTGAGAGAGCACTGCTGAAACATGTACCTCCCCCCAAAGCCGCTGTACTTGCTGTGCCTTCCTCCTGGGATGCTTCTTTAGTGGCTGGCTTCTTCTTGCCATTCAGGTCTCAGCTTAAGGTCAATCCCCATTTAATGTGTCACAGCCAACAAACATTGTGCATTTTCTTTATAGCACTTGTTCTCTGAAATGACTTCTGTTGTTGATTACTGCCTGTGTCCCACTCCCACAGAATGACTTTGGTTCTCTTTTTCACTGCAATTCCCAGATCCTAGCACAGTGTCTCATCTGCTATATGTGTGTACTGGTATGTGTAGTACATGGGAAGTACTCAATTATTTTCCAATTTACAAAGAAAGAAAGACAATGTATTCATAATGGTGAGGTTTATTCTTCAATGTCTTTGAAGACTGGCTGGAGGTACAAAGAAGATTTTGCCTAGAGACGAGAAGACCCACAGATAAGACACAAAAGCTATTTTTAACTAACTGAAGCACTGTCATTTGAAAATAAGAGTAGATTTATGCATTCATTCATTCAACACTATTTTCTGAGCACCTACTCTGCATTAGGCATTGTACGTCTTACAGAAGCAGAGATAAGTGAAACAGAGAACAGTCAATGAATAGATAAATGAGAAACTGTGTCAAGTATCAGCTATCACTATGGTAAAAAATCTGGGACGGAGAGGAGGGCAGGACTGCCAGCGGGGGATGAAGGGCTGGCTGCTTAATGGGAGTTGCCAGAGAAGGCACCATGATAGGGTCATCACAACTGACGCCCTCTAGACTGAGGAACTAAGTGGGACCAGGGGTCAGGTTGGAAGCAGTGGTTCTCAACTTTGGTGACATAGCAAGACGAATACCCTATGATTTCACTCACATGTGGAATTTAAGAAACAAAACATAGGGGAAGGGAAGGAGAAAGAAAAAAAGGTAAAAATGGAGAGGGAGGCAAACCAGAAGAGACTCTTAACTCTAGGGAACAAACTGAGGGTTGCTGGAAGGGGAGGCAGGTGGGGAGATGGGGTAACTGGGTGATGGGCATTAAGGAGGGCGCTTGATGTAACGAGCACTGAATCACTAAATTCTACCTCTGAAACTAATAATACACTATATGCTAACTAAATTGAATTTAAATAAAACTTTTTTTTTTAAAATCACCTAAGAAGCCTTCACAAATGCTGATGTATGGGCTCCAATCTCTAAGACATTGATTTAATTGATCTGGGTTTTGCAGCCTAAACATTGGAATTTTTAAAAGCTCTCAAGTTATTCTGACGTGCAACCAAGGTTGAGAGTCACTGCCAGAGAAAGGTAAGATTTAGTAACAAATAGTAAGAACTTTCTAACAACTAACTATGGTCCACAGTAGCTTCCTGGCATTGTTTTGAACTCCTCAGCTTGGGACAGAAATGTTTAAGAATACCTATTATACCACTTTGCACCCATTAAGATGGGTACTATAAAAATAAAACAAAACTGAAAAATGACCAGTGTTGATAACCACATGGAGAAAGTGGAACCCTCGTGCATTCTGCTGGAAATGTAAAATTGTGTGGCCACCGTGGAAAACCATTTCTCAGAAGAAACTTTCTCAAAAGTGTCTCAAAAGACTAACCATAGAATGACCAGATGATCCAGTAATTCTAGTTCTAGGTATAACCCCCGAAGAATTGAAAGCAGGGGCATAAATAAATACTTGTATATCTACGTTTATAGCGTATTATTCTTAATAGCCAAAAGGAAGAAATAACCCAAGTGTCCATCAACAGATAAATGGATAAACAAAATGTGGTAATACATATTATGGAATATTATTCAGCCATAAAAAGAAATGAAGTTTTGATACAAGCTACAACATGGATAAAATTTGAAAACAAAATGCTTAGTGAAATATGAAATAATCCAGACAAAAAGACAAATATTGTATGATTCCATTTATATGAAGAGCCTACAATATGCAAATTCACAGCAACAGAGAACAGAATAGTGGTTACCAGGGACTTGGGGGAGCAGGGAATGAGAAGTTATTTAGTGAGTACACAGTTTCTGTTAGGAAGAGGAAAAAGTTCTGGAGATGGATAGCGGTGATGGTTGGACACCATCGTGAATGTACTTACTGTCACTGAACCACACGTTTAAAATGGTTATTTTACATATTAATGGTAAATTTTATGTTATGTATATTTTATCACAATAAAAAATGGTTACATGGATGACCACATATCAGGATATTGTATGGGGCTCCTATGTTGGAGGCAGGTTGAACTGGCTGATTTTTGGTTGTTTTCTTGTCTATGGACAATGATCTGAACATATTCTTAGAACATGGATTCTCCATCCACCACATCCTCACCATTAGAACCATCTCCCCTGTATTGCCTTTCCTCTTGTAGGAGAAAAAGCCAGATTCAGGAGATGTGGTGAACACTTCTGGCACCAGAGAATGTATATTTCAAATCAAAAGGCTATGTCAGGGTCAGAGAATCCCAAGTTCTCTGTTATGGTTCATTTGTGGCATGCCAATTAGGAACTAGAAATAGCTAAACTTTAAACTGTGAGTGACAAGCAAAATTTAAATCATGGAAGGAGCTTTTCTAATTAAACAGAACTGTCCACTGAACTAAATGTAAGTCCAGTAATGATAATTAAAATAAATCAGGAACCATTTCAGCAAAATCCATGTTAGATCCCTAGGTTACCTCTGACAGCCTCCAACCACTCCGTCAACTGCGACCGGGCAGTCCTCATCTGGACAAAGAGCTGTCCACTCCACTAAACTGGTTCTCTGACAATTATGAGAAATTTTCCTTTCTATTCTTTTTTTAATATTCATTTATTTTAGAGGGGGGAGGAGAGGAGGGGCAGAGGGAGAGGGCAAAAAAAAAAAATCTCAAGTAGACTCTGCTGAGCGCAGAGCCCAACACAGGGCTCAATCTCACGACCCTGAGATGGTGACCTGAGCTGAAACCAAGAGTCAGACCCCTAACTGGCTGCGCCACTCAGGCACCCCTCCTTTCTCTTCATTTGCTTTTTTCAATTGACTCTTGATCTGTTAAGAAATACCACAAACTTGTTGGCTCTGTGTACCATTTTCTCTGCTCTTAATAGAAGAAAATGTTATGACAATAATTCTGGTTAAATTTCCACATATGTTAGTGTATGTGGAAATGGATTATAAATGACAAAGTATAATATAAATAATTAATCATTGTTATTAATATCAGAAGCCCATACACGGACAATAGCTAAGGAAGTTTTAGGTTTGTTACATCATCCAGAACAATTGGTTTCAAGGTCACATACACACAGAATACACTTTCTCAGGAGTCAAGAACTCTTTTCTCTTTTTTTGCGCTGGCCATGTTAACAACAGTAACTTCAAAGAAGTCACTAGCCTTCTCCGAGCCTTAGTTTCTTCACGGATCAATTGAGAAAGTTAGATTAAATCTCTCATTTATCAAATATGTATTGATTGCCAACCATATGCCAAGCACTGGGATACAACAGTAAAGAAGGTGACCAAGACCCTCACTTCATGGAGTTCAAACTATTAATGGACAAAGACAATAAGCAAGTGCATAGCTAAAGAAATACAATTGGTGATCAGTACTTCAAAGTGACACTCTCAAACTTTAATGTTCATGTGAATCTACAGGGGATCTTGTTAAAATGCAAATTCTGATTCTTTCGGCCTGGGATGGGGACTGGGGTTCTGCATTTCTCACAAGCACGTAGGCTCATGAAGAGCATCACGGATACCCATGATGCTGGTTCATGACTCACACACACTAGACAGTAAAACTATCAAGGGCATTGACAAGATAGTGGATAGAGAACAACTGAGTTAGAGGAAAACTCTAGATCATCAGGGAACATGGGACATGACATTTAGCTGAATTCTGATACATGCAAAGAATCCATGAGTTAGAGAAGCCAGGAGAAGAACAAGTGCAAAGGTCCTAGGACAGGAAAGACATTTTGTATTCACTATTGTAGGAAGGGAATGAGCAAGGAATAAAGAATCTGGGGTAAGTTCTGAAAAGTAGCCAGGAGCCAGATTCCTTGGGCTTTGTATGCACTGCTGAGAAGTTTATCTTCCATCAGACAATGATAGAGAATGCAATGAGGTGATTTAAGCAGAAAAGTGGCCCCGGGGATGCAAATGTGAGAGAAAGAGAGTAAGCCTGTCA